CGCGTGCGCACTTCGTCCCATTTGTTGCAAGGGATTCGTGAAAAAGTCTCATGTTAGAACAAACGTGTCCCGCGTATCGTTTTTACAGGGGAACCTCAGGGGAACCGATACTGGTTCCCCGGGGATAATGTAAATTCAGATTCAGGATGGACTTGTGGTCATAATCATAAACGATTTACATACCCGAAAGGGGAGCGGCGAACGCCGGGGGGGTTGTAGAGTCTATCATTTTAATAAAGAAAGGAGAATTGACTACCCTGCGCCGCGCCTGACCACTCCACTGCTCGCGCAAACATCCCACCCACCCACCCGCAACTTGGTTTGCAAAATCTCTTACGACCGTGACGGTGGGTACCAAATTGCACTTGGCAGCGACAGCGACGCCGACGACGACAGCGACAACGACGACGACGACGCCGCCGACAACGACTACGACGACACCGACGACGTCTCCAACGACTACGACGACGCCGACGACGACGACGACAACGACGACGACACCGACGACGACGACGACACCGACGACGACGACGATGCTGGCGCCGACGACGACGACGACGATGAAGACGCCGACGACGACGACGACAACGACGACACCGACGACGACGTCGACGACGACGACGACGACGACGGCGGCGACGACGACGCCAACGACGAAGACGACGAAGACGACGACGACGCCGACACCGACGACGACGACGACAAGGACGACGACGAAGACGACGACGTCGCCAACGAAGACGACGACGAGGGAGGAAAAAGGTCGACGACGACGACAACGACGACACCGACGACGACGACGACAAGGACGACGACGAAGACGACGACGTCGCCAACGAAGACGACGACGAGGGAGGAAAAAGGTCGACGACGACGACAACGACGACAACGACGACAACGACGACAACGACGAGGGAGGAGGGAGGACGGCAACGACGCGAACGACGAGCAAGGAGGAAGGACGGCGACGCCGACGACGACAACAAGGAGGGAGCAGGGAACACGACGACGACGACAACGACGACGACAACGAAGGCGACGAAATCGGAGGGACGACGACGAGACGCCGACGACGGACGACGACGACGACGAGGGAGGAGGAGGAAAGACGACCACGGCGACAACGACAACGGAAACGACCACGACGCCAAAGAGGACGACGACGACGAACACCAGGAAAGACAGAGGACGACGTAGGCGACGACGACGACGCGGGAGGAGAGAGGACGGCGACGACGAAACCGACGACGACGCAAGAGCGCGCGCGCACGCTTTTGTTGAACATCCGTGTTGCGAAACCTTGTGTTTTTTTTTTTGTTTTTTTTTTTTTTTGCGCACGCGATTTTAAAATCCTTCCGAAACCGATGGCTTTTGAAGGATTTTGGCATACGCGAGCGACGACGCGCGCGTCTGTACTCCGTCCAATTTTTTGCAGAGGATTCTCGCGACGGCTCACGCGCAAGGGCGTCCGACAGATTTCGACATGCGCGCGTCCGAGGCCCGTTTGGTAGCATGTTGTGAAAATTCGGAAACAAAAACAATGGTTTCCTGAAGATTTCGCAAGAGCTCGCGCGTAAGTTTTTTCAGCAAATCAGTGTTGCGAATCCTTGTGTTTTTGTATGTGTTTTGGAAACTCGATTGCGAAATCCTTCCGGCACCGAAGGTTTTGGAAGGATTTCGGCATGCGCGCGGGACGACGCGCGCGTGTGCACGTCGTCCAATTTGTTCGGCAAAGGATTCGTGAAACAGTCCTATGTTCGAACAGCAAATGTCCCCGCGTATTGTTTTTGACAAGGGAACCTCAGGGGGATCGATCTTGGCCACACGGGGATAGTGTAAATTCATACTTCGGGTGAACATGTGGTAAGAATCATATATGATGTACATACCCGAAAGGGGGACCGATAACGGTGTATTCTCTCTGTCTGTCTGTCTCTCTCTCTCTCTCTCTCTATATATATATATTATAATTTATATATATATATATATAAAAAACGGAATATAACAACATAGTTGACATATCCCGTGCTCTTGCAAACATCCCACCCACCCACCCGCAACTTGGTTTGCAAAACCTATAAGATGGCGAATGCGATGCATGCTCGGCGTTGTCTGGTGCGTCTCTGCGGCCGCGCCAACCCGAGAACGCGCGCGCAGCGGCCCGCTGGTCTGGCGCGACCGACGCGGCCGCGGTGGCGCTCATCGTTTGGCACATGCCAGCGGGCACTTCATTGCGAGTCGGCGACTTGGGCGGGCGCGGTATCATGGCAACGTCGACAACGGTAGACGTTGCGGAGGCCCCTAACGACTTCGACGACGACGACTACGACAACCACGACGACAACACCGACGACGACGATGCTGACGCTGACGACGACGACGACGACGGCGACGAAATAGGAGGGACGACGACGAGACGCTGACGACGAACGACGACGACGACGACGAGGGAGGAGGAGGAAGGACGACCACGGCGACAACGACGACGGAAACGACCACGAAGCCAAAGAGGACGACGACGACGACGAACACGAGGAAAAACAGAGGACGACGTAGGCGACGACGACGACGACGACGCGGGAGGAGGGAGGACAGCGACGACGACGACGACGACGACGCAAGAGCGCGCGCGCACGCTTTTCTTGAACATCCGTGTTGCGAAACCTTGTGAAGGTTTTTTGGACACACGATGTTGAAATCTTTCCAAAGCCGATGGGCTTTGAAGGATTTCGGCATACGCGCGCGTCGACGCGCGCGTCTGCAGTTCGTCCATTTGTTGCAGAGGGTTCTCGCGACGGCACACGCGCAAGGGCGTTGGACAGATTTCGACATGCGCGCGCGAAGCCCGTTTGATAACATTTTGTAAAAAAAATCCTGCAAGACCTATGGTTTTCTTAAGATTTCGCAAGAGCTCGCGCGTAAGTTTTTTCAGCAAATCAGTGTTGCGAAACTCTGTGTTCTTTCCTGTATGTGTTTTGGAAACTCGATTGCGAAATCCTTCCGGTACCGAAGGTTTTGAAAGGATTTCAGCATGCGCGCGCGACGGCGCGCGCGTGCGCACTTCGTCTCGATTTTGCAAGGGGTTCGTGAAACAGTCTTATAGTTAAAGAACATATGCACCAGCGTATCGTTTTTATATATATATTCTTTTTTTTTAGAAAAAAAGAGGAACCTCAGGGGGGGTCGATCCCGGCCCCCCAAGGATAGTGTAAATTCATACTTCGGGTGGACATGTGGTCAGAATCATACATGATTTACATACCCGAGAGGGGTACGGATAACGCCGGGGGAGGGGTAGAGTCCATTCTCTTTTAAAAACGGAGAATTGTCCACGCTGCACTGCGCGTGACCACCTCCCATGCTCGTGCAAACATCCCACCCTCCCACCCGCATCCTGGTCGGCTAAACTCATAAAGTCGCGAATGCAATTACAGCGTGGAGCTCGTCCGCAAATTTCATCGAGCTCACTGGCACCCGTACCCTCGCGGCAAGGGCAAAGTCCACCTTGCGGGAGACAGAGCGGACGACAGCGTCGACAAACGACGATGAGGTGGTTGGCCTCTTCGGGCCTCGTGGGGGCTTCTTAGGTGCCTCTCCGGGCCGAGGGCTCGAACATCAACTCGGGGCCCCGTCTGGGCCCTCTCTGAAATCGTTTTGGAAGCCTGCGGGGCCGTCTTGGAAGCCTCTTCTTCGGCCGTCTTGGGGGCCTCTCGGGGCCGTCTTGGAGCTCTCTTGGGGCTCTCATCTGGGTGCGCTGGGGAGCCGAAAAGGAAAGAAAACCGAAATCCATCAAAAACCCTCGATACGTTAGCGAATTCTGCCTCTTGGGAAGCTCGTGGAGGCTCTTGGGGTACATCATGGAAGCTCTTGGGGCGTCTTGGAGGCCCTTTGGGCAATGCGGCGCCCATTCTGGCCAATCTGGGGCCGTCAGGAGCCGTTCTGACGGCCTCGCAGCGCACTCTCAACGACTCTGGGGCAGTCCTCGGGCGACCTTGGAGGGCCTCCGGCGCGCCGGGGCAGGGCCCCGGGCAACCCGGTCCACACGTTTGTGGTCGGGGGGCCGGCCCCGGGGCCCCCGGTGACCCGTTACTACATGTGTGCTCGCCATCGCTCGGACGTCCATTCCCAGTGTTTTTGTTTCGGTTTCGTGCGTGGTTGTTTCGCCAGATGATGAAGGGTGCTCCTCGGTGGTCCTCGCCGAAGGAAAAATGCACACGTCCGAGGGATGCCAAGGTGTATGAGTGATGTCCGCGCCAGTGAGGGTGGTCAACCCGTGGAGGGGGCGGGTGGCCGGTGGAGGCAAATCCTTGGGAGCCTGCGCGCGGGCGCCGAGGCCGAGGTGCCGCGCGCAGCGGCCGCGCGCGGGCAGGCGGCCACGACTGCCAGGCTCGTCGGCGTTGTCGTGATCGTGATCGTGGTCGCGGTCGCGGTCGTGGTCGTCGTCCTTCTCCTCATCAGCGTCGGCAACGTCCTAGTCATTGTCGCCATCGTTCACGTCGTCGTCGTCGTCGACGTCGTCGGCGTCGACGTCGTCGTCCACGTCGGCGGCGCCGTCGGCGTCGACAGTGGACCGAAGCCGGATACCGTTCGGTCTTCGCAACCCAGCCTCCCCCGAGATCCGACGGCGCAAAAAAATGAGACATCGCGAGGAACCACGACCAGAATCCTGGACTCCAATCTTCCCCCCTCTTCGAGACGGCCCGACCTGTCAGGGCCCCGGGACCCGCAGCCGGGGGAAAACGCTTCGCTCGGAAAGCTTGAGACGGCAGACCCGGGCCCCCAACGCCACGATTGTTTCACAACGTCGACTCCCGGAGGGCTCGATCCGTTCCCCAGGACAGGTTTCTCATCCCGAGCCGTCTTTCGACCTCCCGTCGCGATTTTTGTTTGCGACGCGAGGAGGTCTGGGCATCCGGAGGCCGAGAATAGCCAAGAACCGCCCGTCATGGCATGGCGCTCGGTGACCCGAAAGGAGGTCGGGGGGGGGGGGCAGGGGACGCCTGCCCCGACACGATGCAGCCCAGCAGGCCGCCCAGCTCGAAGCCGCTGACCCGGGCCGTGGCCTGCGCGGGGGGCCCTCTCCTCCGCTCACGTTGCTCCCATCGTACTTGAGCACCGAATCCCAGAAATCATCTCGAGCACCCAGAAAAGTACCGACACGGTGTCGAGCGAACATCGCCTCCCAAAGCCCGACACGTTGAAACCATCCAGTTTCGGTGCTTTCTTGATGATCGAACTTATTTCAGGTGGTTCAGGCTAAAGTAGGCTGGAACACCATAACCCTCCGTTTTTTGAGTTCAGAAAACAGTCTCCTAGCACTGGCGCGCCTGCGGGTGGCACGCCAGGTCTGCGAAGCAGGCATGAAGCAACCAGAGTCGTAGTTAGCAGCGCACGGCGAAGGGAAGCATCAACGCAGCGTGCATTGCTCCTGAGAACAAGATGTATTTGAGGAACGCCACAACCCTCCGCCCGCTCAGAAACCCCTGTGACCTCGCCTCGCCCGCTGAGCCTGTCCGCGCGCTCTCCAGTGGCGCCTCGGCCAGGCCGAGCGCTCCCCGTGGCCGCGCGCTCCCAGTGGCCGCGCGCTCCCAGTGGGCCTGGCCTGGCCTCCATGCTCCTCCATCCTCGTACCTCCTCCTTTTCCTCCTCCTCCTCCTCCTCCTCCTCCTCCTCCTCCTCCTCCTCCTCCTCCTCCTCCTCCTCTCCCCTCCTCCCCTCCTCCTCCTCCTCCTTCTCCTCCTCTTGACTCCCCCTCCTCCTCATCCCTCCTCCTCCTCCATCCTGCTCCTCTCCTCCTCCTCCTCCTCCTTCCCCTCCTCCTCCTCCTCCTCTACTCTTCCCCCTTCTCCCTCCTCTCCTCTCTCTCCTCTCTCCTTTCCCTCCTTCTCTTCTTCCTCCTCCTCCTTCTCCTCTTCCTCCTCCACCTTCTCGTCCTCCTCCTCCTCCTTCTCCTCTTCCTCATACTCCTCCTCCCTCCTCCAACTCCTCCTCCTCCTCCTCTCATCATCATCAGCATCATCCTCATCATCCTCATCCTCATCCTCATCCTCATCGTCATCGTCATCGTCATCGTCATCGTCATCATCATCATCGTCATCATCATCATCATCATCATCATCATCATCACCACATCATCATCATCATCATCATCATCATCCGCCTCTTCCCTCCTCTCTCCTCCTCCTCCTCCTCCTCCTCCTCCCCCTCCTCCTCCCTTCTCACCTTGCAGAACTGACGGGAGATTATGTCTTCGACGTGGCAACTGCGTTGTTCCTCAAACGCATTGCCTCTTCAGGAATCGAACATGCCTGAAACTGGCCTCGGTGCTTCCAACGATATACGGAAATGCGAGAAGTCGATGTTCACACATCTGCCTTCGCTGGTGGTTGAATCTGGCTGGCTTCTGTCGCCTTTAGACATGGAAGCATATCCACCCTCACTTGTATTCCAAACTCTATATGCTATGGTATGGCACTTTTAAGTTCGCTTGCGAAGTACCTGTCATACGATGGCAACATGTGAAGAATGTGGGCACTGGGCAACTTACAGCCTACTGTCGGCAAGACGCTCTGAAGCCCGCATCTTTCTCAAACAGTTCTGCAGACCCCACCAGATCTCGCGGACCCGATTCTCGATAAGATGGGGAACTGCACCGAGGAGTTACACTCATCCTTCCTCCTCCTTCTCCTCCTCCTCCTCCTACTCCTCGTCTTCCTCCTCCTCCCTCTCCTCCATCTCATCCCTCCTCCCAGGCCGCCACGGCCTCCATGGCCGGCACGCCGAAATTGTCCATGATGTAGAAATGCGCCCAATTCAGGACGCCCTGCCGACACTGGACCCCGCGCAAGCTTGCTGGGCGCTCCGCTCCTCCTCCTCCTCCTCCTCCCCCTCGTCCTCCTCCTCCTCCTCCTCCTCCTCCTCCTCCTCCTCCTCCTCCTCCTCCTCCTCTTCATCCTCCTCCTGCTCGCGCCCTCACCCTCGTGCAGTTCCTCCTTCTCCTGCTCCTCCTCCCCCTCCTCCTCCTTCTCCTCCTCCTCCTCCTCACCATCACCATCACCATCACCATCACCAGCACCGTCACCATCACTATCACCACCACCACCACCACCGTCATCATCGGCATCATCATCAGCATCATCAGCATCGTCATGATCATCACCACCACCACCATCACAACAATCACCAGCACAGTCGGCACCACCACCACCACTATCACCATCATCATCATAATCAGCATCAGTATCATCATCAGCATCAGCATCGCATCATCAGCATCATCATCATCAACAGCAGCATCATCAGCACCATCATCATCACAATCATTAGCAGGAAAAAAGGCTGCATCATCATCATCATCATCATCATCATCAACATCATCATCCTCATCCGCATCGGAATCATCCTCAACATTATCATTATCATCATAATCATCATCCTAATCAACAACACCGTCATCGTCATCGTCATCGAAATCCTTATCAGCTTCAGCATCAGTATCAGCCGCATCAACATCATAATCACCATCATCGGCATCATCCGCACCGCTATTATCATCATCATCACCATCATCATCAGCAGCATCATCATTATCATCGCCATCGTCATCGTCATCGTCATCCTTCTCACCATCACCATCACCATCATCATCTTCGCCATCATCAACATCATCATGCCCGTCCTGTTCCTCCTCCTCATTCTCCTCATCATTCTCCTCCTCCGCCTCCTCGCGCCCTCGCCCTCGTGCCGTTCCCCCTTCTCCTGCTCCTGCTCCTCCTCCTCGTCCTCCTCCTCACCATCACCATCTGTATCTTCATCATCATCATCACCACCATCATCACCATCACCATCATACTCACCATCACCATCACCACCATCATCATCATTCCCCTCATCACCACCACAATCACAACAGCCACAATCATCACAACCACCATCAGCATCATCAGCATCAGCAGCATCACCACCATGAGGATCACCACCATCATCGCACTCATGATCAGCATCAGCAGCAGCAGCGGCAGCTGCATCATCATCATCATCATCATCATCATCATCAGCAGCATCATCATCATCCTCATCCTCATACTCATACTCATCATCATCATCATCAACAACATCCTCACCTTCAGCATCCTCATCATCATTAACAGCATCGTCATCGTCATTGGCACCGTCATC